CTCCGGTACTAACGTTGCTTTCTACGATAAAACGTAAAGTATACTTGCCAATGTATTTTGACACTGCCACATTCTTGTAGCGGACTTGTATTTTGCAAGAACGTGAGTAGTATGGTTTGAAAGTGTTAACGAAAGAATTTAAACATTTTATTACGAACGTTTAACGGTGTATTTTTGTGCATACAGTGTATGCAAGTTGATCGAGATAGAAGGGCGTCAATAAGGTCCGATCCTTATCGAAGATCCTTCCCTGCGATTAGGAATATGTTAAATTAATAACTCTCAATGAATTCATAACGACGAGGAGAAACGGTTTTAACGTTTTTCAATTCTTATATACGTGTAAAAGCTGTGGGGAATCTTGTGATTACCTCTTATATGCCCGATGAAAAAACGACGATCTTGCCTAGAAAAATCAATTCGTACTACATCCAAAAACTCACGCGCTCTTTGCCATGATTTTGTAATTTATACTCATAAGAGTACATTTTATATATCAGTAATATCGACTGCCATACTTACGCTTAGGATGGCGAGATCACGTGAGTCTCTGTAATCGAACAATTTACAGTTCATAACACATAAGGCGGACGGTAGAAATATTTTTTCTATTTTTTTTATCCGTCAGAATGTTTTTCATAAGGTTGCATAAATTTTTAATAATAGGTTTTATACGGTACAGTACTTTGAAGTTAGTTAATTTAGTATTAATCAATTGAAACACGACAGGTGATCGAAGGAGTTTCATAAAACAGCGGTAGGTCATTTTGAAAATGTTACTAATTGTTGCCTGTAATTTTAGAAACTTTATTTATAACAGGCTGAGATTTTCCATATTTGCAGAATCTTAACGTTTATTGTGGACACTGTGTGACGGCCTTAAAACATTTTGTATTAAGTTGCCCTATACTCAGTGGCTTCGGCAGCTTATGGAAGAATATTACGCGTATACTTTTAAAGCAACAATGTAGTATTACGATCTCATCGAGAAATTATTTTAGAGTTACAAATGAACATCGAGTATGGGTATTATATGTATAATAGGCTGTATAGCATACAAGAAAGAACAATTTGATTTTCGCGCGTCTTGCCGCGAGAATCGTATGCATCGATATAGCAAGTATCGATTAATTTATCGATATATTTGCACTTTCGATAGTTGGTTTCAACTTAAATAAGCATTGTGTTTCTAACGTCCAGTTAAGGTACGTAGGTCGGTCTAATTAATAGAATTAAATTAAATTCGACAGTCGTTTTTGCAGAATATTTTTTATCAAATATTTACAAATTGTTATTTGTAAGTATTATGCGTTGTTTCGTTTGAAGACGTTCGAATACAAACTACGACGGCTTGCAATTTACGTGCACGTACTTTGCAAGGAATAACCGATCGAATTTCTCTGTCATTCGATAATCGAATTGATATGCATACACGAACAGTGGACAGATTCGACGTAGAATAATTAAGCGACAGTTTTTGACCATATCCGTCGAGATACATAGGTAATATTTCCTTCCAATGCTAGGAATTTGCTACGTAAATTTTGTACACTTTTTATTGCGATAAGAAAAGAGGTCTCTTTAGTATTAATAAAATAGAGACGCTGGGATGCAGGATAAAGTAACGATTCTAACACGAGAGATATGTAAGAAGAAACGCGATCAGGTAATTTTCGCATGTAGTATTTCGTACTATATCATTTTTAAGCACTTTTGTATTTTCTTAACGTTGAATAATATTGTACAAAAGTCCAACACGTAAAAGGACAATGCACCGAGATTCCCGTTGCGGCAAAGCCCTAATATGGACATAGTACAAAGCAATATGTGATACTCTATTCTTTGCGATGCAACGCCAGTCGGGAAAATTACGCGAAAAATCGTCGACTCGTCCCAGAGTATTGCATATTACTCGAATAATTTGCCGCTAGACGGGAAATGTACCACTCATTTTGAGCAACACGAAGCGAACAAGTTCTTTTATCGTCGGCTTAGCTCGGTTTAGAGAGTTCTTGAAAACTAATATTAAGGTATAGATATTTATTCAACCAACATGATGCACGATTTCGATTCACACCCCCTACTGTTCTCCTTCAATTATTACATTTTCCTTGGATATGAAATATTACGAACAAAGTGGCTGTATGCTTAACGGTGCAGGAATAATTCTAAGTAACATTTTCGAGTATTTTTTATTCACTTCGAAATCGGACATATTTTATAAACTTTTTACGACTGGCACAACGGAACTGTGTGCGAGCTATACCGATAAAAAAAGAAAAGATTGTACATTA